CATTAACAAACCTTCTGTATTTCCAAATTTGGTTGATAACTTACCAGGTTTAGTGTTTCTTCTTTACTTCACGTCTTATCAATCTCTTCTTCTTCTTCATTTTTTTCATTTCTATTTTTAGAGCTGTCTTCTAGTACTTTACAAGTAGCACGTCTGATGAAAAAGCAATTTGAACAGTTACATATAGGCTGTTTAAATTGTTAAAAAAAAAATCTGTATTATTGATGTCAAAAATAGGATGATTGAATGTTAAGCGTTGTTGTTCAGTTCTAATAACCATCTAAGTTTGAATGCAACTGTTTAGGAAATGTTTAGCTTCTGCAATTTTTTTTTGGAAAAATCAGTTTTTTTTAAAGAAACTTTGCTTATAAAGACGACTATTTGCAAACCTGTTGTATTTGAATAAATCTTTCTTTGTCTCACAAAAAATTCTAAAGTTTAAGCCAAATTAAACTTTTTTTTTCTGTACTGCTATCTTTCTGAATTTTGAGTGCTCATCTAAGTTTACAAATCCTATTATTGTTGTGCAAAAAATGGGCTTAGGTAAAGTGATTCAAAAAAAAAAAGCTATAGATTAAGAAAAAAAAAAAAAGAAATTTTTTACCCTGATTTATCACTTAACATCGTTTTTTTGTCATTGTCGATCAAAACTGTTCAAAAGTTGGCCACTTGTAGTTATTTTGTAAATCTGTTCGTTAGATGTCAGAATTATTGTACAGTAAACACAGTATCTATGTTCTTATAGCAAAAATTTTAAGTGATTAGCCAAAAAAAAAAAACCAGCAGAAGCTTTTTTCTTTCAGAAAAAAACAGTTAAACATTTAAAAACTGATAAAAAGTGAAGAAAAAAAAAGACTTTTTTTGTATCGTTGAAATTATCAAAAGGTGTGTGTAAAAGAAGTAGAAAAAAAAAAGCAATTTTACTTATGTCAATTGGGAAGCCCCCCCAAAAAAAAAATAATTTCTTTTTTTTTTTGTTTTTAAATGTAAAGGTAAATTTGTTGAGTTTAGACAATTTTTTTTTTTTTTAACGTGAAAACACAAAATGTTTGTGTCGATGTATTTCAATGTAAAATTTTTTTGCTTTTGCTCATTAATTGTTGCATTATAATTTTGTTCAATTTTATTACTGTTTCATAAAACTATTCTGTGTTTTACGATCGGAAAATAAGCTAATAAATTGTCGATATTAATAAATAAATAAATAAATAAATATATATATATATATAT